CCGGCTGCTGGCCGAGCAGGGGCTGAGCCCCGGGGACGTCACCGACGTCACCTGTCCTTCTGTGTCCCCAGGGAGTGGGGGAACAGTGGCGCTGGGGACAAGGAGAAGGGTGACAAGGGTGACAGGGGTAAAGGAGATGCCAGCGCTGACCCCAGGGGACGTGGGGACACTCCCGAGGGAGGTGGCACCTGTGGAGGTGACACCAAGGGACATGGGGACAATCTAAAGGGGTGGTGCCAGCACTGGGGACGTCCCCAAGGGATGTGGGGACACTCCCTAGGGAGGTGGCACCCCTGGAGATGTCCCCAAGGCACGAGAGACCCTCTGGGGACACCGAGAGGCATCTTGGGGACACTGAGAGGGACCTTGGGGACACTGAGAGCCACCATGGGGACACCAAGAGGGACGTTGGGGACACCAAGAGGGGCCTTGGGGACACCGAGAGGCACCTTGGGGACACCAACAGGGAACTTGGGGACACCGAGAGCCACCTTGGGGACACCGAGAGGGATCTTGGGGACACCAAGAGGCACCTTGGGGACACCGAGAGGCACCCTGGGGACACCGAGAGTGACCTTGGGGACACTGAGAGGCACCTTGGAGACACAGAGAGGGACCTTGGGGACACCGAGAGGCACCTTGGGGACACCAACAGGGAACTTGGGGACACCGAGAGCCACCTTGGGGACACCGAGAGGGATCTTGGGGACACCAAGAGGCACCTTGGGGACACCGAGAGGCACCTTGGGGACACCAAGAGGGACCTTGGAGACACCGAGAGGCACCTTGGGGACACTGAGAGTGACCTTGGGGACACTGAGAGGCACCTTGGAGACACAGAGAGGGACCTTGGGGACACCGAGAGGCACCTTGGGGACACCGAGATGCACCTTGGAGACACAGAGAGTGACCTTGGGGACACCGAGAGGCACCTTGGGGACACCGAGAGGCACCCTGGGGACACCAAGAGGCATCTTGGGGACACTGAGAGTGACCTTGGGGACACCAAGAGGCACCTTGGGGACACCGAGAGTGACCTTGGGGACACTGAGAACCACCCTGGGGACACCGAGAGGGACCTTGGGGACGCCCCTGGTGGGCTGGGACCTGAGCCTTGGGGACGGGCTGTACCTCCCCCACCCCCTGGCCCAGGGCTGTCCCCTCCCCCTGGATGTCACCGGGCACCTGGAGGTGACGGCCACCCCGGGCCACACGCCCGATCACGTCAGCGTCATCGTGCGCGGGACGGAGCTGGGGACGGTGGCGGTGGCCGGGGACGTGTTCGAGAGGGACGGGGACGAGGAGGAGTGGCG